GCAGTGTGTGACAGCATGGTGTGAGGTAGTGTGCAGTGTGTGGCAGCATGGTGTGAGATAGCGTGCAGTGTGTGACAGCATGGTGTGAGGTAGTGTGCAGTGTGAGGTAGTGTGCAGTGTGTGACAGCATGGTGTGAGGTAGTGTGCAGTGTGTGACAGAATGGTGTGAGGTAGTGTGCAGTGTGAGGTAGTGTGCACTGTGTGACAGAATGGTGTGAGGTAGTGTGCACTGTGTGACAGAATGGTGTGAGGTAGTGTGCAGTGTGAGGTAGTGTCCAATGTGTGACAGCATGGTGTGAGGTAGCATGCAGTGTGTGGCAGCATGGTGTGAGATAGCGTGCAGTGTGTGACAGCATGGTGTGAGGTAGTGTGCAGTGTGAGGTAGTGTGCACTGTGTGACAGAATGGTGTGAGGTAGCGTGCAGTGTGTGGCAGCATGGTGTGAGATAGCGTGCAGTGTGTGACAGCATGGTGTGAGGTAGTGTGCAGTGTGAGGTAGTGTGCACTGTGTGACAGCATGGTGTGAGGTAGTGTGCAGTGTGTGACAGAATGGTGTGAGGTAGTGTGCAGTGTGAGGTAGTGTGCACTGTGTGACAGAATGGTGTGAGGTAGTGTGCAGTGTGTGACAGCATGGTGTGAGGTAGTGTGCAGTGTGTGACAGAATGGTGTGAGGTAGTGTGCAGTGTGTGACAGAATGGTGTGAGGTAGTGTGCAGTGTGTGGCAGCATGGTGTGAGGTAGTGTTTACTCACCCCCAGAATCTGCTAACTTCAGGTTCCAATGTTTTTCATATGTAAATACCGCCCTAGGGAGAAAACAAGAAATTGGCATGTTATAAGTATTCAGCAAAATTACAAAAGTTGAAATTTCTACCAGTTGGCTTTTTCCTTACTGAATGAAAAAAAAAATTAAACTGTCGTGTTTATTGCTCCGATTACCAGGTTTATCGCTCCGATTGCCGGGTTTATCGCTCCGATTGCTGGGTTTAATTCTCCGATTGCCGTATTTATTTCCCCAATTGCCAGGTTTATCGCTCCGATTGCTGGGTTTAATTCTCTGATTGTTGGGGTTATTGCTCCGATTGCTAGGTTTAATTCTCCGATTGTTGGGGTTATTGCTCCGATTGCCAGGTTTAATTCTCCGATTGCTGGATTTATTGCCCCAATTGCCGGGTTTAATGCTCTGATTTGCATGTTTACCGCTCCCATTGCTGGGTTTAATGCTCCCATTGCCGCGTTTATCGCTCCAATTGCCAGGTTTATCGCTCCGATTGCTGGGTTTAATTCTCCGATTGTTGGGTTTATTGCTCCGATTGCCAGGTTTAATTCTCCGATTGCCGGATTTATTGCCCCGATTGCCGGGTTTAATGTTCTGATTTGCATGTTTATCGCTCCGATTGCCCGGTTTATCGCTCTGATTTGCGTGCTTATCTCTCTGATTTGCCTGTTTATTGCTCCGATTGCCGCGTTTTTGCTCCAATTGCCGGGTATAATGCTCTGATTTGCATGTTTATCGCTCCGATTGCCGGGTTTATCGCTCCGATTGCTGGGTTTATCGCTCCGATTGCCGGGTTTAATTCTCCGATTGCCGGATTTATTGCCCCAATTGCCGGGTATAATGCTCTGATTTGCATGTTTATCGCTCCGATTGCCGGGTTTAATGCTCCCATTGCCGCGTTTATCGCTCTGATTGCTGGGTTTATCGCCCAGATTGCCGGGTTTATCGCTCTGATTGCCTGGTTTATTGCTTCGATTTGCGTGCTTATCGATCTGATTTGCCTGTTTATTGCTCCGATTGCCGCGTTTTCGCTCCGAATGCTGGGTTTATCGCTCTGATTGCCAAGTTTATCACTCTGATTGCCGGGTTTAATGCTCCCATTGCCGCGTTTATCGCTCCGATTGCCAGGTTTATCGCTCCGATTGCTGGGTTTAATTCTCTGATTGTCGGGTTTAATTCTCCGATTGCCAGGTTTATTGCCCCGATTGCAGGGTTTAATGTTCTGATTTGCATGTTTATCGCTCTGATTGCTGGGTTTATCGCCCCGATTGCCAGGTTTATCGCTCCGATTGCCAGGTTTATCGTTCCGATTGCCAGGTTTATCGCTCTGATTTGCCTGTTTATTGCTCTGATTGCCGCGTTTTTGCTCCGATTGCTGGGTTTATCGCTCCGATTGCCCGGTTTATTGCTCTGATTGCCCGGTTTATCGCTCTCATTGCCGGGTTTTACGCTCTGATTGCCATGCTCCGAATGCCGAGTTCATCGCTCCGATTGCCGGGTTTATCGCTCCGATTGCCGGGTTTAATGCTCTGATTTGCCTGTTTATCGCTCTGATTGCTGGGTTTATCGTTCCGATTGCCCGGTTTATCGCTCCAAATGCCAGGTTTTATGCTCCGATTGCTGGGTTTATCGCTCCGATTGCCCGGTTTATCGCTCCGATTGCCCGGTTTATCGCTACGTTTTTTGGGTTTATCGCTCCAATTGCCGGGTTTTATGCTCCGATTGCCATGCTCCAAATGCCGAGTTCATCACTCTGATTGCCGGGTTTATCGCTCCAATTGCCGGGTTTAATGCTCTGATTTGCCTGTTTATCGCTCCGATTGCCCGGTTTATCGCTCCGATTGCCGGGTTTTATGCTCTGATTGCCATGCTCCGAATGCCGAGTTCATCACTCCGATTGCCGAGTTCATCACTCCGATTGCCGGGTTTAATGCTCTGATTGCCATGCTCCGAATGCCGAGTTCATCACTCCGATTGCCGAGTTCATCACTCCGATTGCCGAGTTCATCACTCCGATTGCCGGGTTTATCACTCCGATTGCCGGGTTTAATGCTCTGATTTGCGTGTTTATCACTCCGATTGCCGGGTTTAATGCTCTGATTTGCGTGTTTATCACTCCGATTGCCGGGTTTAATGCTCTGATTTGCGTGTTTATTGCTCCGATTGCTGGGTATATCCCACCCTAAACCTGGTGCATTGAAGAGCGCACCCAATCATGGCTGTCTAATGCTTCTCAATGAGCAGATTTATAAACTTCCAGACATTCTGCAAGCTGTGTGCCCAGGCTCCCTTTATTGACTGGAATTTCTGGTTCTATTTCATTTATAAAGTACCGAGATTTGCAGCTGTTGCCAGAAAATGGAAGCCTCTCCGAAATCGTTCTGTCCAAGCGCCAGGGACAGAAATCTGAGTAAATACAGGAGCCGTGGCCATTGTTTTTACTTCATAACAAACACTGTTTGTCTGACATTCCTGTTGCCTCTTCCTGCTCCAGCCAGCTATTGTGTCTGCAATACATTGCCGGGTTATGTCACAATACAAAGCGTGCACAGTGCTAGCTCACCATCAGCATTCCTAACTGAGCTTGCACTCTTCTGACTCCTTTAGGAGTTCCACTCCCGCAGGTGACACTCCACAACCAATAAATGGTATCCAAAGTTGGCAAATGTGATATTGCTGAAGTAAAATGGAGTAGTGTTTGCCAATTGATGTTCCGCAGAACCCCGCCGTGATTTCAACAATCCAAAATGTGTGTTTATCTGAGTGTCAGTTTGTGTACATCTGTGTCAGTGTGTACATCTGTGTATCTGGGTGTGTGTATCTGAGTGTCAGTGTGTACATCTGTGTGTCTGGGTGTTTGCATCTGAATGTCAGTGTGTACATCTGTGTGTCTGGGTGTTTGCATCTGAGTGTCAGTGTGTACATCTGTGTGTCTGGGTGTTTGCATCTGAATGTCAGTGTGTACATCTGTGTGTCTGGGTGTGTATATCTCAGTGTCAGTGTGTACATCTGTGTGTATCTGAGTGTCAGTGTGTGCACATCTGTGTGTTTGTATCTAAGTGTCAGTGTGTACATCTGTGTGTCTAGGTGTGTACATCTGTGTGTATCTGAGTATGTGTGTATCTTTGTTTGTTTTTATGTGTCAGTGTGTGTGATAGTTGCCCCAGGCTAGCTGAGGGTTGGACCGCCGACGGATGCTCCTAGCGCTTACCAAGGACCATCATCACGGCACCAGACACTATAAGCACTGCAGACCCTACAAACCGCTGCAGCTTGGTTGGGGTCTCGCCGTCTCCTACCCACCCAGGACCTACGACACTGCTCCAGGTTCCAGTGGGTGAACCTCTCTTTCCTCAGAGAGTAAGGCAGGAACAGGAGCTTAGTGATTATTCAAGGGAGTATGCAGAGCATAGCAATCCCTTGTAGCAGATTCCCCCAATAAGAGACAGGACTCTAGATTGAGGGTGAAGTAGAACTGAAGGTTGAATGGTACAGCTGCTTTTTTTATCCAGTATTTCCCAACAAGGTTACCGCCCACATGGACCCTGTGGGGCACAGGACATGAAATGCACAATCCAATAAAAACATTTGAAAAATACTGTACACAATCCCACCCCTCTGCCTGTGATACAATTAACAAAGACGATGGACTAACTCAATTACCCACAGGCAGAAAACACACATTTTTACAAACCCCAAAATACAACATATCCTCACAAAGTCACATCCCTTGATAGCCCCGATGTGGGTGAACAACATATCTAAAAATCACCCAGATCGGTTCAGGGGTTCAGGAATTTCCTGGAAGTCCTATTTTTGCCCCAGCGTGCACATGGTCCCATACCGCTGGACAATTTAAGATGGCCGTCGCCACATGTTTGAATCTGTTCCAGTTAAAAGTCCAAGGGGCAGAAACAGTACTTTTGAACATCGGTTATCACAGGGCCCATAGTCCCAGGGTAGGAGGCTGGCAAGCAGGACCCTCCAAAAACCAGTCTCCCCCAGTATCTTCCCCAGAAGTGCAGTTCGTCACACTGTGTATCTGTGTGTCTAGGTGTGTGTATCTGTGTGTCTAGGTGTGTGTCTAGGTGTGTGTCTAGGTGTCTGTATCTGTGTGCCTAGGTGTGTGTATCTGTGTGTCTATGTGTGTGTATCTGTGTGTCTAGGTGTGTGTATCTGTGTGTCTATGTGTGTGCCTAGGTGTGTGTCTAGGTGTGTGTATCTGTGTCTAGGTGTGTGTCTAGGTGTGTGTATCTGTGTGCCTAGGTGTGTGTCTAGGTGTTTGTATCTGTGTCTAGGTGTGTGTCTAGGTGTGTGTATCTGTGTGTCTAGGTGTGTGTCTAGGTGTGTGTATCCGTGTGTCTAGGTGTGTGTATCTGTGTGCCTAGGTGTGTGTCTAGGTGTGTGTATCTGTGTGTCTAGGTGTGTGTATCTGTGTGTCTGTGTAAGTATGTATGTACGTATTTGGCATGTGGCAGTGTATGTACATATATCCTAGCAATCAAACACCAACACAACATGCAAACAAACATTACATACAAAAATCCATAAGAATTCAAACTCCCAACTCAAACACACCCTTCACTCTAACAGCAATACTACACACAAATGTACACCAGCATTTAAAAGCCAACACTACATACACACACACACAACTACACGCAAATGCAAACATTACATACAAACACACCCCTGTATTAAAATGCTAACATTACATATAAACACCAACTCTACACCCAGAAGCACACCTGCTCCTAAGTACTACAGACGGTTTACTATGTGTAGAAATTAGTCTATATGCCAAAATTAAAATATACTAAAATAAACCAACATTTTACTGTTTGAGCTATGGCTCCACAATGTTGGTACCCTATGTCAAACAGTTCCACGGGAAACATTAGATGGATACCCCTACTATAGAGGTATCATAGAGGAAGGACATTGGGCCGATGGTTTGATTTCCTGCTGTAGAGTGATGCTTGCTACACGACTCTTGGCCTCTTACCATATGTAAGGAGGGTGTGAAGAAATGACTCCGTTCATCAGGATTTCTACCTTTGTTGTGCAGTTAATTCACCCAATTCAGCTGGAATTCAGGATATAGCTTTAATTCCTACCCTTCGGATGGATTCAGGCGAATTCCCCGTGTAAAATCTAGGTGGCCGCCATTTCGGCACTTTACACGTGGCCGCGGCCATTTTACGTGCGAACAGCGGTGTTTGCCCGTCAACGCGTGGAACTAAAATCGGATACGCAAACAGGCGAACACCGCTGAGACCTCCATACATCCAGAACTTCGCACGGGAAAGACCGAATCACCGGCCGTTCGGTAGTTACATGCAACTTCGTATGGGGATTGCAACAACCACGAAGATGCGAACGGATGGCAGGGCTTTCGTCTCTTTTATTCGCCTAAACGGAGACCGACCGCAGGGCCAAAACTTATGGAACTATTTTCGGCTAGATGATCCGTGCGGTCGGTCAAAACTTTAGTGCTCCATAACTCCCGAACCATTCATCCGAATGGACTGATTTTTTGACATATTGTCCCCACAAATGAGAACTATCCAGCGGTGCCCAATTTAAAGGTGTACCCCCTGTTTTTGGGGTACATCCAGAACTGGGGTAAAATAGTGCACGTTTTAATGAAGTTAACTGTTTATCAGAGGGGAGGGAGGTAGGGGCTGTAACCTATACCTGATTGGTGATTTAATGCCTCCCCTTGGGTGTGTATTTCGTGTCTGTAACCCTAATAAAAAGCAGGCTGGAGATTCCAGACCTCAGATCTACTTGTATCCTGATTCTGGACTCTGACTGTTATTTGGGAATTCGTATGCTTTACCAAGGGGATTATCTTGGGGAGCTGTTATATTTCTTATGGACTTCATTGCTTGGAACTACCTTAGACGCTGGCATTGCAGGAGGAATTATCAAAGCGGTTCAGCTATACTTGATTTCCTTACAACTGGTGGCAAGCGGAGGGATTCGAATCCCAAATGGACATTTCAAAACAAGCAAAAGAATGAATGGCTCAGCAGTACCAGCTACTTAAAAGAACCACGCTAAAGGACTTACTGGAAGCTCGAGGCAGAGTGGCAAGTAACAAAACAAAAGCCACGTTAATTGCGGAGTTAATGCAGAGCGATAATACCAGTAATACAGAGATGGATCAAGAGGAAGAAACCGTGATGCAAAAGGACATCCGATGGACACTCAGTTTATTGGGACCCAATCCATCCTCAGAGGCGATACTGCAGGTCGTAGCACAAGCCAGACAAGCGCAAAAAGAGCGAGATGACCGGGACAGAGCGTCACAGGGGGAGTTGCTACACCCCCCGAGAAGTATTGGGGAAATACCAAAGAAGGTAAATTATGCAGCGTTTAAATCATTTGTTGACAATGAAATGGAAATCGACAGTTACTTGCAAGACTTTGAACGTCAGTGTGCACTGGAGGGATTAGACTCCACCAAATGGGCTGCAGTCGTCAGCAGTAAATTGTCAGGTAGAGCAGCCGAGGCGCTGCGAGCAGTACCTGAGGGGGACATACATAATTATGAGAAAATAAAAGACATTTTGTTGGCCAGATGTGCGGTAACTCCGGAGGCATACCGGAAAAAGTTTAGAGACCTGAGAAAGACTGGGAGAGATTCCCATACGGAATGGGCTTTTCGCCTGCAGCGGGCAGCCCGCAATTGGATGAAGGGCTGCCAGGCAACCACCCTAGAAGAAGCTTTGCAACTAGTGATACTGGAGCAATTTTTTAATCACACTGCAGAGGACATAAAAGACTGGGTAAAAGATAGGAAACCAAAAACCGTGGAGGAGGCCGCTAGGCTAGCGGACGAGTACCAGGATAACAGGAGGAAGGAGCCAGGGGCGAGCAGACCACCATTTAAGCCTCAGTACACAGCTCCAACAAACCCGGCTCCACCTAGACCTGCCATAGGTAACCCCCTACCGAACCCAGCAAACACACCTCGACCTCCTGCAGTGTGTCACTACTGCAAGCAACCAGGACATTACAAGCATCAGTGCCCTCGCTTAAACCGGGGAAGCTGGGAACGGCCAGCCCCACAACAACCCAGGGCAGCTGCTCACTGTGTGCAACAGGAACACACAGGCCCTGCCCTTAACCACGAAGAACAGTGGAGGGTATTACATGAGGTCAATCCAGTACAAGCTGGGGGGGACAACCGGGACCACCACCGCCAATGGATTACCGTCGATGGCGTGGGGGCCCGGGCGCTGAGAGACTCTGGGGCTACTTTGACTGGGGTACAGCCCCACACGGTCAGAGCACAAGCTCGCACCGGACGCACAGTCGCTGTAAGGGTGGCTGGGGGCGCTATTCACAAACTGCCCACCGCTAATATGTTTGTTGATTGGGGTTCCGGGTCTAAACAACTGGAGGTGGGGATTATGCAAGAACTGCCCGCCGAGGTTTTGTTGGGAAATGATGTGGGATGCCTAACCTCTCAACTAGCCCGAGACCCCCCTGCCGAGGCCTACCCGGTCACCACCCGAGCTCAAGCCAGACTGGAAGCTCCGCTGCACTCTGAGGAGAACCAGGTAAGAGTCGAAATACCCCCTTTACCCGATCCCCCCGTACCCTTCTGGGATACCCCCCAGGGGTTTGAACAGGAACAGCGTACTGACCCCACATTAGAACGCTATAGGAAGGCCGCGGCCGCTACCCCCGAGAACAACCCGCACGAAAAATTTGAGTGGTATAAGGGGTTGCTATATAGGGTAACCGAGGGGGTGGGACAGGGGGCTACCCAGGTCATAAAAGGACAGTTAGTTGTGCCCCGTAAATTTCGGGCTGAGTTGTTAAAACTCAGTCATGACATTCCCCTAGCAGGACATTTAGGGGTCAAAAAGACCAGAGACAGGTTAACTCAAACCTTCTTCTGGCCCAGAGCTACCCAGGACCTAAAGTACTATTGTAGGACATGTGATGTATGCCAAAGGGTAGGAAAAAGAGGAGACCTTCGGAAGGCTAAGCTTCACCCCCTACCCATCATCGAACAGCCCTTCCACCGAGTAGCGGTGGATTTAATAGGTCCCCTCAGTCGCCCCAGTCCGTCGGGCAAAAAGTTTATCCTAACGGTGGTTGACTACGCCACTAGATACCCGGAGGCAGTCGCCCTCACCAATATAGAGGCCGAGACCGTGGCAGAGGCTCTTATTCAGATATTCACCCGAGTAGGTTTCCCGCAGGAGATACTCTCCGATCGGGGGACGCAGTTCACAGCTACCCTGACGCAACAACTGTGGCAGAGCTGTGGAGTGCAACCCCTGTTCAGCGCCCCGTATCATCCCCAGACTAGCGGGCTCTGTGAACGTTTCAATGGCACTCTAAAACAGATGCTAAAAACTTTTACAGAGTCCCACAAGAATTGGGAAAAATTCCTTCCCCACCTTCTGTTTGCCTACCGTGAGGTGCCCCAGGCCTCCACTGGGTTTTCCCCCTTCGAACTCCTGTACGGGAGAAAAGTTCGGGGCCCACTGGAGCTCGTACGGGAACACTGGGAGAGCAATACAGATGAGGGGGGAGTCCCTATCGTCCAGTATGTCCTGGAGTTCCGGGACCGTCTGCGGGCCCTCACCGAATCGGTTCGGGAGAACCTGCAGGCGGCCCAGGAGGACCAGAAAAAGTGGTACGATAGGAGGGCCCAGGATAGAGTGCTGGACTTAGGACAGAAGGTACTGGCTCTGAGGCCCGTTAAAAAGGACAAGCTGCAAGCAGCCTGGCAGGGACCCTTTAAGGTAGTGGAACAGGTTAGCGAGACTACCTACATCGTGAGCAAATGCTCAGATGAAAGGCTGACCAAAGCCTTCCATGTGAACATACTCAAACCATATTTTGAAAGGACAGAGGAGGTGGGCGCCGTGTGCGCCCCCGCCACAGAGGATAGTGAAGGGCTTCCCCTGCCTGACTTACTGGAGACCACCCCCTGTACTATTGACCAAGTAAGCTTGGGGCAAAATTTAGACCACCTGGAGAAAGGTGAGGCTACTCAACTGCTGCAGGGATACCGAGAGATGTTTTCCGCTACCCCCGGCTATACCTCCGCTGCGGTCCACCGTGTGGAAACCCAGGGAGAGACGCCCCTACGGCAACAGCCATATCGGATCCCGGAAGCAGTACGTGAGAGTATGCTCACCGAGTTAAGGGATATGTTAAGACTAGGGGTAATAGAACCCTCCCAAAGTCCTTGGGCCTCCCCGGTGGTACTAGTACCGAAGCGCGACGGCACTACGCGCTTCTGTGTAGATTACCGGAGGCTTAACGACCGTACCATAACCGATGCCTACCCCATGCCTAGAATAGATGAGCTCTTAGACCGTATGGTGGGGGGGAACTACTTGACTACCCTGGACCTGTGCAAGGGTTATTGGCAGATCCCCTTGGAGCCTGCGGCCATCCCCAAGTCGGCGTTCGTCACCCCTTTTGGGCTATACCAATTCAAGGTTATGCCCTTTGGGATGAAGAACGCCCCGGCTACGTTTCAGCGGATGGCGGATAGGCTCCTGGAGGGGTTTCAGGACTTCGCATGTGCGTATCTAGATGATATTGCCATCTATAGCCGCACATGGGAAGACCATCTGGGTCATGTGTCCAGGGTACTCGAACGAATCCACCTCGCAGGGCTCACTTTGAAACCCGACAAATGTCACGTAGGCCTAGCCGAGGTCCAGTATCTAGGCCACCGGGTCGGCTCCGGTAGACAACGCCCAGAGCCCGCTAAGGTAGAGGCCATAGCTAACTGGCCCCAACCCCGGACCAAAACCCAGGTACTGACTTTCTTAGGGACGGCCGGGTATTATAGAAAGTTCGTCCCAGAATATAGCGCCCTGGCCAAGCCCCTCACGGACCTTACCAAAAAGGCCCTTCCCAAACAGGTCTCCTGGACCCCAGAGTGCACGGACGCTTTCCAGAAGCTCAAAGCGGCATTGAGTGAGGCCCCTGTGTGGGCAGCACCCGATTACACTAAACAATTTCTTGTCCACACAGATGCCTCCATGTTTGGGCTGGGAGCCGTGCTAAGCCAGGTGGGGGCGGATGGCATGGAACACCCGGTGGCATACCTCAGCCGTAAACTTTTGCCCCGAGAAGTCAGCTATGCCACCATAGAAAAAGAGTGCTTGGCCCTCGTG